CCATTCTTCAGCTAGTTGAGCTTGATTCATGACATCTCGCGATAATTGAGTTTCGAGTTCTTCCATTTTCGCTCGAGCCTCTATTAACGAAAATAAAATGACTAGTTTTTAGAAGAGTAAAGTATATTGAATGTGTTGAAAATTGATCATTTCACAAAACGATGCAAAAAGAGGAACGATTCATATAATCAATCGTGCAACAAGGCTTACCGGCAACAAGCCTTCGTTCGTCTTCAACCATTGCCTGTACTCGTGCACGAGACTCATCGGTTTGACTAGAGTGTACGGTCGTTGTAGTGTGCTGAATAGTAGATATATCAGCTCCACTCGAACGACGCAGAGTATGAGATGGCTGTTCCTCTGTTCCTGCAGATCGAGAGGGTGCAGATGCAGTGCGTTCCAATGATGTTCGAGGTGTTGATGATACTGGAGCATCAATTGGTCGAGTTGTTGTTGATGATGCCGCGGTAGTTGGTGAGGTAGATGGAGTTGGTGGAGAAGCAGCAGTAGATGCTGCCGTACTTTGTACTGGTGGAGCTGTACGCCCTGAAGATGATTTCCAGAATGGCTGCATATCTTGAAGAAATGAGTGAACGTCAGCTACAGCGTCTGATGTTGCCAACCGATAATAGAGATTCAAACAAGTACGTACTTCTAACAAACCGATCAGTCCTTCAGAAGATACTCAGATCAAATTGGTTATGTTTATATGCCTGATTGATATTTGGGGACAGGATAAAGTAAGCTGGAATGCTTGAAAGTGTTAAACCGAAATCAGAAACACACCAGCTTGCATGTGATGCACAACTATAGCGGGTTAAGACAGAAAGTACGACGTGTTTTGTTCAGGCATAGCGCCTCAATAAATGAAAAATGCGAACAGTCCAGCCTCTCCTATTGCTCAAACCACCAGCAATGATATCCAATGGAATTTGACGTGTGGCTTCGTTGCCACGATATCTTAAGTACTACATCAGGCACAAAAATGCAGAAAGGACATTAATTGATGTGAGATTCTTCTTGGACATCATTGGGAGCGCATCACACCGACGCATGAGAACACGATGACTGGGTGATCAACACATCTGAAAATTCACTGTTGGGATCAGCAGAAGGTCGAATATCTGACCAATCCTCATGATTTCTTGGGAAAATGGTGTTTTTGAAGAAACTCCAATGAGAAAATTCCAAGATTACAACAGCTTGGAGAGGAGAAGGATCAAAGAAGGCACAAAGAAGGGAGATTATGCTGATGCAATGCGTAACGAGCGGTTGAAAGCGTTCAACAAGGCAATTTCAGTCAGGGATCTAGGAATTACAACCCAAAACAGAAAAGTGCCCAGGCAGTTGTGATGTCAGATTTTCGAATTTCAGCAGTGGCACCAGATTTCATTTTGGTAACTCTAGCTTTGGCCTTGCCGTCGTTGGCTTCTGCTGATTTGCCTTTGTCTGCTGCAGAGTAAGTTGTGGATTCCTCGGCAGGTGGACTTGGACGGCCAGCGCTACGAATAGCAGAGGCGCTCTAAGTGAGGAAACACGGGTATGATCAGCTCTGAATATTTTTTCGACAAAGCAATACCACAAACCTCTTACTTATCTCGATTTACCATTTGCGATTTTAAGACGTAGATCTGACGATTTTTGAAGCAAAACACTTTAAACGGTCTGAAAACTTTGTTTCACATGTTTTATGTTCTTATAGCCAAACATTTCGTCGAAAACTTTAAAGGTTGAAAATAGAGACCTTCCACCCTCCTACAAATCATGCTCTTCCAAAAAAATCAGGCAACGAAACAACATTTGCTCTCCTGGTAGTACCATATTCTTTGACAGGGACCATAGTCCCAGCCAAATAAGCGCGTGCTCCAAAGATAGTCTGCCCAGTCATCATGTCACGTTCCATCGCTTCGCGACGTTCAAATGAAGATATGAGAGCAGTAGCACTACAAATTGTAGTATCATGACTTTGTTGGTATTGCTGGCCGCCAGTGTGAGTATGTCGTCGAGTTTCAGCAGTGGTACCATATTTGGTTTTGGTTACTCTGGTTTTGGCTTTGTCGTATTTGGACGTTGTTGATTTGCCCCTGTCTGTTACAGTATATGAAGCCCATTTTTCTTCATCAGCCGGGGAGCTTGGCAGACCAATGGTACGTAGATCAGAGACCCTCTGAAGCAGGAGCGACAAGACGGCATTGGCATTTCATCACATTTGATTTTTTCGTTTAGAGTTCCAACACAGAAATTCTCTTACCGAGAAGACATCACGTAGTTTTTCAATATCAGAGCTCAAACATTTGATTTTATCAGCAATCTGGTCAAACAAGATGCTCGTCCTAGTTCGAGTCATGATGGTTGTCAGAGTATGGTGAATATGATCCAACTCTGATTCAGCCGCTCGAAGTCGATCGTTCAAATCGAGCTTCTCTCTGTTGACATCCTGTATAGGGTTATGAAAAGGAATGTTAGTTTAAAGCATCGGAAGCGGAAAAATATACTTGGAGAAATGTGGATGCATACTTCGACTTGTTGCCAGCATTTTGCAGCATCAGAAGTACTCGTTTGAGCTGAATGTTGAGCTTCAAGAATGTGTCTTTCCTAAATAACCCCATTCCAAAAGAAAAGAGCTCGTTAATCTCTATGACAAGACCTTGCTCCCAAACTTATGGCATCTAGGAAAACTCACCAAATTTGAAATCACATCGCGCAACCTCCCATTCTCAGCCTTCAACGCTTCCCTACCCTCTTTACCACCTCCAGAATCTTTACCATACAGTTCTCGTGTTGGTTGGGAGGACGACGCGACAGCACTAGTTTCAGAAGCCATCGACCTATCGGCCCACAACTTATCACGATGTGCCTTCACCAATTCCAACATATTCAATGCACGTCGCAAATCGTTTTGACATTGTTGAAGAAGAGTAAGGACTCGAGCCTTATCATGCACTTGTTGAGCAAATACAGGAAGTGAGTTTACCAGTGTGGTCATTGATGATTCGATGTTGCGAGAGTCTTCTATGGCTGCTGACAATGACCGTTCAGCTGATTCTGCAGCGTGAAGGGCGCGATCACGATCGTGGCGGACTTGATGAAGTGTGTCTGTCATTTCTGAGTCGTGAGTTTTGATATTATTCTGCTAAAAGAAAAGAAAAGAAAAATATCAAAGAATCACGAATGCATCACCGCACAAAATACAAACAGCGTTCAGGGCATAGGTACTTACAAAAGATTCAAGTTGTTTTTGGGAATCACTCAATCGACGCTGCCACACTTCACGTTCCTTGTCATGTTGACTTTGAAGAGTCGCGACAGCTTCAATGGCTTCATCTCGCTCTTTTTCACCTCTGCTGTTTTGAGCTTCATACTAGAAATCGACAACCAGGAAAGATTTAAAAGGAAACCGTTCTTCTAGTCGAGTGCAAGAACTTTCTTTCGCTAACTTACATTCTTGATATCCTCCTTCAATGCAACAACTTCTTGAGTCCATTTAAGTTTGACATCAGCAGCCTCTCCTTCATATTCCGTTTGAACCTGCACTATTGTACGACGAAGCTCTTCAATAGTTTGATTTTGAGCTGCAGATTGTTGTTGCTGATCCTGTAGCATTGTTCTGATACTACAAAATGGAAAGTCCGAGTTAGAAGATGAGAACTCATCTCATTGATTGAGGAGTAGCTCTGTTTTTTTGCGTCATGACATTAAATTGCCTGGTCGGTCAACACTTACTTGGCAGCTTCTTCCTCGACACCTCTGTCCCTCTCACGAACCTCAGCCATCTCCTTCAAAGCTTGATCAAGCTGACCCTCCAAAGCTTCAATCTCTCCTTTAGTTGAAGCCTTCATCTCCTCGACTTCAAGCTCATGAGTTCGCCTCTCCTGTTCAAGTTGATCGTTCAACTCTTTCGTGAGCGACATTCTCAGCGCGTTCAATTGGTCTTCATGATGAGTTTGTGAGAGTTCATATTGAGCAAGTAAGGAGCGATATCTTGTTTCCCATTCCTCAGCGATTTGGGCTTGATTCATGACGTCTCGAGATAGTTCGGTTTCGAGTTCTTCCATTTTCGCTCGAGCCTCTGCATATGGATTAGAATGAAATGTTGGATCATGTATTTTCATCCGTTTAGAATTTCATCTTGAATATAGATGCAAAGAAAAAAGAGGTCGAGAACTGAAGTGCGAATCGACGAAAGCACATACCAGCGACAAGCCTTCGTTCACCCTCAAACAAAGCTTGTATACGAGAACGAGATTCTTCAGATTGACTAGAGTGTACGGTCGTAGTTGTCTGCTGAATAATATCAGATACGTCAGCGCCGCTCGATCGACGTATAGCGGTTTGACGAGATGGTGGCCCTTTCTCCATTCCTGTAGATCGAGGCGTTGCAGATGCGGTGCGTTCCAACGATGTCCCGGTTGTTGATAATACTGGAACGTCACTTGGTTGAGTTGTTGATGATGATGCAGCAGTAGTGCTCATCATTGGTGACGTTGTAGATGGAGATGGTACAGAAGAAGTAGTTGATTCTGGCGGAATCGGACGTTCCGATGATGATTTCCAGACTGGTTTCATATCTGGAAGATAAAATTACTGTCAGACGTTTGACGTTCAATATTGGGGACAAAGGGAACTTAGGCTCCGTAGATACATGTAACAAGCCGATCCCTCCTTAAATGATGCTCAGAATAATACGTATCAATGTGCTTTATACTTGTTTGATCTTAATCCAGGAACAAAGTGTGGAAAAGTCCAGCGATTCACCAAAATGCGAAAACACAACACCAAAGTGGATGTGTGCAATACAAGTTTATCAGCGAAGTATAAAGAGGCACGAGAACAATAAAAGTAAGCCCCGTCTTGTCTCTTGATTTAGAAACAAATGTAAACTTGACGTGTTTGAGGAAAAATGTTCAATGCTCGGAAACGACCCAACTGCAGTTGATACAAATTTATTAGCAAACAACACCATAACAAGATACAGAGAACAGTACACGTTTCCCGAAGGTCTAGCGCCTCAAGAAGTGCATTGATGCAACGGCTCCGGCAGCTCCTATAGCTAAACCACCAGCAAACGATACCCAATCGAAATTAACCCGTAACTTGTTTGCCCATGCCATCCCGACTTGTATACCAGCGCTTCTGAATGCAGGAAGTCCGTCAATTGATGTAAAGTTTTTCTTGAGACCTAAAACAAGTTGGTTAGTTCATATGAACAACAACACCCCCCCCCCTCCCAATATACTTCGATAAAATACTGTCCCAAACCATCAAACAGCCAGCGATACTTACGATATCCCGGCAAATCATCATTCTTTTCTGCCCAATTCTTCAAAACCTCTCGATCACCTAGCGTCGAAATTCACATCAGTCCTTCCTCAAAACACACCCCAAAAGAGTAGCCGAGACTCCAGCCATACCAACATAATCAAAATATGGCACAGCATAACCACAACTCGTAGCCACCTTCTTGACATCGATAACAATCACAGAGCGAGATCCAGCAATGCGTTTGTCTTGTGGCAAGAAGGATTCGTATTCGGCAGATCCGATTTCGTGCACTTTGGCTTTACCCCATAGTCTGACCTACACAAGCAAAAAAATCAGGACATTTCGGGAATCGAATGCAACTGGAAAGGTAGGGGAGGTATCTTACAATCCTTGGGGGGCCATCGAAAGCGTTGAATAAGATTGTGATTCTGCCATCTGAGAAGTTTGAAATGAAGTTCTATCAAACTGCCGGAAGAAAAAAGCAAACCTCTAGGTCAAATACTACTAAATAGTCAACAACGAACTTGCTTTCTTTGACGTGGGCAATAGTCTCACTCCCAGACCCCGTTAAATCCTGATACCAGACAGTCTTTGAATCAATGACTGCAAAACACTCTTGTGCGTGGCCTATATTAGATTGAGTTTGGATTTGTTACATTTGTGTTGAACTGTTTGATGTCGAAGATGAAAGAAGAGGTAATGCAATCCAGGTACATGGTACATTACCTTTAGGAGATACATTGACATGCTCTCCATATCGTGGAGCAGTTGCGACCCAAAAGACCTAGATAAGATCGATTTCAAAACATAAGATGTCTGCGAAATTAAAGCAAAAAAGAAACAGAACTTATCGTTATATACCTTTTGAGTAGGTATCCATTCAAAGAGGAACTCTGGAATGTCGTCGTAGAATGTCACCATGGTGATATGTCTTGGTTTCTGTATGTTGTATGAAGTTCTAAGGAAGTTGGAAAGCACCAGTTGAAAGATTCTAATCCGAGTTTAGCACGACGTGAGATCTACTACGAACTTCTACTACTTTTAATTCCTACTGAGCTCGAAATTGTGTCACTCACTCAAAATATAAAAAAGCGTGAGATCGTGGACCACATCGCAACCAAGCGGAATCTCAGCGACACGCGTATCGGTCGCCCTGCATCTCACTTATAAAAATATAAATAATTCCAATTCGTAACCAACCCTCGTATTTTTCATATGGCTCATTACGTCCGCTCTGACGTGAACTACCCAGCAAACCACATCCACAATTCCATCAGAGAGAGGTACACTTTCTGTTTTGAGGCTGAACAAGGCGGCGCATCCGTTGCATCTTGCGCATATACCCTCGATTCCACCGCACAATTAGTAGCTTCATTAAAAGGCTAAAGCTTGAAACTGTGCTTTTTGACAACACAGCAACACCTGACTACGAAAAAACCTTGCTTGCTTCGGTACCCCTTAGTCAATTAGCCCCAGTAGCTTATAGGTAGTTGAAACCTAGTTTACAAGTAATCAGGCCCATCTCTGTCTAATCTGGAGCACAAATGGACATCCAACGCCCCACATCTCCCATGGGATTCAGAACTCGCCCCACAACACCAACTGGAATCCGCATGGACGCTGACACCACAAAGCTGGGCATGTTTGGTCGTCTCCGTAAAGTATTTGGAAGTAAAGATGAACCTCGCAAAAACCAAAAGCTGCGGTTTGCTGATGCACCCGCTACAGAAGATCGACCGACATTATCACGATCGCAGTCACATGAACGGCTTGCTTCGCTGGATGAGAGTACTAGTCAACGGGTGCCCATAGCGGATCGATTGCCGCCGAGGAGGAGTTTACATATACCCAGTAGCTATAGGTTTGATGAGGGAGATGCGCCGGCGATGCCAAAGACTCGTAGTGCTGGGACGTCGAGGCCGTCGTATATTAGCTCGCCGACAGTGCTGGCTCCTGCTGCTGGTAAGTGGGGTGTGTTTGGTTGTGGTTTGGTTGTGTTGGGATGTGATTTATAAAAGGACATGATTTAAAAAGGGACACGAGAAGTTTCGCAATTATGAGCCTTTACTCTCTCACAGCACGCTAACACTTGTGTCCATCAATCCAGAATCCCAAAAACTGCCATCTCTCAAACAATCCGACACTTCTTCAACCCACTCAAACGAAACGGCAATCAGTGAAACCAAATCCAATGTAGGCTCAAACGTCGGCTCCAATGTAGGCTCGAATCTAGGCAGAACAAATAGCACATGGTGGCCCAAGTGGTCTAGCAGCAATCAAAACAATTTAAACGCCCAACACACAACAACGAAAAACATCAAACCGTCCAACAGCAACACAACCATAAACTCAACCTCATCAGCCTCCTCAGCATCCCGCTCCCTCACAACCACAATCCCAACCTCCTCATCCACATCCTCATCAATCACATCCGACGTAGGTCCCCTCTCCATAACCACGACACAGGAACCACTAAAACCATCCCCAACATCATACATAAAAACATCCATCCCTTCACACGTCCTCATAACACCTCCCCCGTCACAGCCAACATCGCCTACACGGTCGACATCAGGCGCGTCGATAGCAACACTCAGCACGATGCAACGGTCTGAAGGTGTGCTGTCGCTGCTCGACATGTACGATAATCCGGACGATGAGTGGAAGAGTATACGCACTGTGAGCAGTGTTGAGAGTTTCAAGGTGGGGCAGCATAGGGCTATTGCCGACGCAGAGAGTGACGATGAACTTGACGTAGGAACCAGGTTTAGCTTTGAAGAGTTGCTTAGTAGTATTAAGAGTGGCGATGAGAGGCCGACGCTGAGGAGGTAGTGTAGGTTTGGAGGAGGCGTAATGTTTGGCAATGGGGAGCGATAGATGAGAGAGAACTCAATGGTGGATTCGGTTGCTTTTTTCGCTTGGGGTTTTGGGATGGATGGAACATAATGTAATGCTCTTTGGCAAGTACTAGAATCAATACTTAATAATTGTCCTTTCATGTCTTACTACAAGACTGATACTGCTTAATAATCTTGTTTCAATTTTGGGAAGGACTACGTCTAATAATAATACACAGTGTCTTTCTAATGCAAACATGCTTCTATTTCTATTTTTTATGGGGGATTTTATAAACAATGAGGGTGTTAACTAACTGAATGTCCTTTGCTCATTATGTACATTTGATACCTTCAACTCTCTACTTCAACTCTAACTTTCACCCTTCACAACTCTTCTTCACCCACCAACCATCGAAGCACCAACAACCACACCACCATCCGTTCCACTTCCACTCCTCTCTGCATTTACATAATCAATGATGGACCAATAGTACGGCGAGTCAACCAACAGATGCAACTGCTTCCACAAACACTGCGTAGACCTGAGGAAAAAGCAACTGGTCATTCCAATGTCTTGAAAGAGACTACACAGTCAACTGATTCTTGAGTCACTTACCCAACCTTGCCACACAAAAACCTCACAATATGGAAATGTCCATGAGTAGCAGCCACAACAATCGCATCTTCAAGGACGACTTGTTGTGTGCGGTAGGCCGTAACTGCTTCTTCTTGTGTTTGTATACGTGATGATGAGAATGATGATTCCGGCGGTGGAGACGGATACGATCCTGCACTATTGAATTCAGCATGCCAGAGCGTTGATACTGCTTCTAGGTGGCCCCGTTTGGAGGCTTCGATGATTACGCGGTCTGCACATGCTCCTTCTAATGTATGAAAAGGGATTGAGTGAGTTGGGGATTCATATGGGATTTTTCGAGGATGGTTTGGCTTACCTTTGACTAGAATAGAAACGCAGACAGAGGAACCAGATGATGCGGCTTCTTTGAGTGCTTCAGACCTCCATGCTGGGTTTGTTGTCTTCGTGCAGAGATACTAATCGATGATGTGTCAGTGAGGTCAAGGAGAAAAAAACAACTCTTGAAGTCAAGATGACCACTTTTCATCCGTTCTGCCACCCATGTGGCCACCCCAAACTTGAAGCAACATAATAACCCAAATTTCAATCTCCAAAACCCATTTACCTGAACAAGCTCAGCATGCTCCCACCTCGCCGCAGTTCTCAGAGGCTTGCCGCGTCTGGAATTGGCATCACATCCACATTTCTCAATCAGATATCTCACAATCTCCAGATTCCCAACTCGTGATGCGAAATATAATGCCCTGACAAAAAAAGGAACTCAAAAGATAGTTTGAAAATTAGAGTCAACACGTAGCAGCCATACCTCTCATCGTTAGCATGCACATCGATCCCCCTCTCAACCAACCACATCGCAACTCCAAGTTGATTCTGCAACGCAGCACGTTCCAGCAAGTCAAGGCGTGACGATGCATCACAGTATGTCTTGTACATCTCAAGTGTTCGTGAATCTGCGTTCATGACGACATCCATAACCGTAGATAAACAGGACACGAGTCCCTTGCGCACGAAATGGCGCATGAGTGTATCCCATCCTCTACATCCCACAAAAAGCGATAGTTACTATGGGTCATGAAACTTGAAAGCTCACACACACCTTAACTTACATCTTGTTCGTAATGCACCCCCACGTAACAAGCAATCCAACAACCTTCCCATCACAACTACCAATCAGCCTCCCGTGCCTCATTAACGCATCACCCTCAACCATCCCAAACCGATCCCTAACGAAACAAGCCCGTAGATAGCAATCTCCCATGACATAATTCATAGCTCTACACGTCCGTGCTAAGCGATCTGGAGCAGCCACATATCGAAGAATGCGCGGCAGTAAATCACACAATGGCAAATCCAAAAATGTTGTTTCCTTCCTTGTAAGTGTTGATTCAGACGGCGATTCGACATAGCATGATATAAAAGACGGTATGGGCTCCCTGTCTGTGCTATGCGCAGTGTTGGTCTCTGTGTGAGCTAGATTGTTTGATTCGAGAGTTTGGTCGTTTATGAGGGCTGCGTCCTCGCTGTCTCTACGTTCTTGGACGTTGCGGAGCCTGGAAGACGTGAATAAGGGTCTCCTTCGTCGAAACATGTTGCTTAATAGTCGTCCCAGCAAAGCTTGTTTTGGAGTGTCGCCCCCCTGATCTCAAAGTTTTTGGTATCACCAATTTAGAGTTGAGATGTGAGAAGCTCATCTCGAAAAATTCAAACCGCCAACATAGTCGCACCGCGAATAATCATATCCTTTCTTCAAATTTCCTTGTATTGCAGAAAAGCGTGGCGATGTAGCTATTATTATGTAGATTATTAAAAAAAGGTCATTATCCCTTTCTGTCTCCTTCACACTATGTCACGGACTACAAGAATGCCACTAACGGCAAGAGGCTGGCATTCCTTCCCAGGCGGCCTTTATACCTTTACAGTAGGCTTACAGTATCTAATCATGTTCTTATCAGCGAGGTCAGATAACTCATTCACTAGTCTCTCACAATCGTCGTGAGTATGGGCTGCAGACACACACAATCTAATACGACCTTCTGCTAATGGAGTCGCTGGGTATCTGTAAAATGAAAATGGTTAGGGAAGGGAATCAAAGATGAATATAATCAAAGTGCAATGCGGTGTTTGTCGCGTTCGATGAATCGTAAGCGATATGAACTATTCCAATGTACTCACCCTACGATAACGACAGCAATCCCCCTTGCAGTCAGCTCCCGTGAAATCGAAACCAACTTTGATGGATGATACACCAGGATCGGTATAACTGGAGATCCAATATCACCGCTAACAGACAATCCCAATTCCCTTAATCTCAGAGCAATATATCTCGAGTTGGCAGATAAGCGATGTAGTCTGTGTCTTCCTTCATCGGTTCCATCTTCTCCCATTATGATGCTCATCGATGAATATATCTGTTGTAGTACCAATGGGCTGACGGTTTCGGCATAGACAGCTGAATGATTATGCAGACGGATTTGATCACATAATGCTTTTGTTCCAGATACATATCCACCAGCGGCTCCAAACGATTTCGTAAAGGTACCCATGAGGACATCAATACGTGCTGGATTTACATTTAGCAAGTCACATATACCACGGCCGTTAGGTCCCAAAGCGCCGATAGAGTGGGCTTCATCAACATATAGGTAGAATTTGTACTTGTCTTTAAGGGCTACTATTTCGTTGAGTTTACAGAATGTTCCTTCCATGGAATAGAGACCTTCTACAATGACTAAGACCTTGTCCCATGGTCTGCCGCTGCGGGGCTGGCCTTGAGCCAAGTTTCGTCGGATTACATGTTCCAGCATTTTGATGTCGTTGTGTTTGAATGTTACTAGAGTGGCTCCTGATACACGGCATCCGTATCGTAATGAAGCGTGGTTGAGTTCGTCAGAGACAATCAATGTGCCCTGTGTGAGAACATGAGAGTGAGTGATTTGTGGTGGACAAAGACTATCATCTTGTCAATCAATCTACCTTGGAAGCTAAAGCAGGAATAGTAGTACTATTCGTAGCAAATCCCATTGAAAAGATAACAGCATCCTCCTGCCCCACAAACCTAGCAACTAACTGTTCCACATCCCGATGCATGACAGAATTACCGACTTCCATTCTCGGCGAGTTCAATGACAATCCATATTTAGCTACAGTAGCTTCAACGGCATCAGCACATGGTCCCTGCGATTGCGCAAAACCCAAGTAATTGTATGAAGACATGTTTAGCAAGTCAGATGTTGTTCCAGTGTAGGAGAAGGTAGCATTATTGTCTTCAGACTCGCGATCTAGGACCGTGATTACTCTGCCGGGGACATTTGTTATGGCCTTGTTGAAGCAGTCTCGGATTCTGAGATATATGCGACGGTGGTAGAGGGTTTCTTCCAAATCCATAAGTGGCGCATATCCCTGTGTATATTGTGTGAGTTATTTGTATACTGTGACCGCAGCAGGACATGGACCCGTGTCTCATATCAAGCTGCCACTTATCAAAACAACTCACGTTTCGTGGTTTGTACTGGGTATAGTTTTCAGGATAGAGGGAGCAGGCGATGAAATCACGTATCCGACCGACTAGAGATAATATAGCATCTAGAATACAAAAGATGCGGTTAGCTCCTGTGGTTGTTTGTGAATGCCTCCATTCAACCACCAAAAAAAGTCTCCACCCCAATGGAGCCCCGATCCATCAAACACGATGCAAGGCAATCGGCAGTGCAATAGAACGTGACAGGTACATACAAGATAGATAGGTGGTGATGATGACCCAGAGAGCGGGAGCATCGACTGTCGAATGAACCTTCTGTTTCTTCGGCTCGACCTTGGTATGGACACTTTCATGAGTCAGATAGACTGGTTTCGAGGGATCGTTGATGGTGGCGGCGGCTCCATAATATTCCAAGCTCGATGGAGTGAAGTCTAGTGCTCGCTCTCCTTTACCCATCTTCTACTCTATCTCTATTATGCTATTAATACTGTAATGTTTTGGTGGGAGAAACAGTGCAAATCAGTCGCCACGGAAACTTACAAACCACTGCAATCAACTCGCTCACCTCGACGCGTTTTTCAATCTGTATATATTCCGGATGCCAGTCTTTCCACGAAAACACGAAACTTGTAGTGCCTTTTGTGCCTGTTTCAAGTTCCTATTCTTCTCAAACACTTGGCACTTGGCACGTCGTCAAACCGCTGAACTCTAACCGTCACGTTGGCATCCAGCCACTCATCCAAGATAATGGCGACAGACACTACACAGTTATCAAGGTATCAATCATGTTTGACAGCGACTTCATCTTGACACCCAACATTGTTGCCATTCGTATTTCATTTTGAGCTAACTGTACACAATTTTACCGACTCAGAGCAGGCCCAAAAGACTGCATGGCATGTAGATTAACAGGATTTGCTGCAATGTCTGGTATTGGAGGCTACATGCTTTGGGAACGAAGTCGATTACCTAAGAACCCACAGTCAAAGTCACTCCGCTGGTTTCTGGGAGGGATGGCTGCATGTACGTACAAGTATCTAAGAGTTCGTGATGGATGCCTTATGAGAGTGTGTGTGATGGTGTGGATTGTCCACACTACTGTCAAAAATCAACACCAAATCAGGCGGGGTTTTGTTTGGTACTCCATTCGAGACGGAACGTTTTCTGTCTTTAGCTGTTTATTGGGCATTGTATACACGCATTAGCGTCTTGTGTTATTTGGTGGTAGTGAGCAAATTTATGCAGTTCAGCAGCTTTAGACCATTCCTTTTTTTTGGCCAATACGCAGAATTGATTCTCGATTACTTTTAGGCTTCTTTGCATTCGGAGCAACGAGATTAGTGGTCCCTATAGGATCTGAAGAGAGGCAATAAACATGCTTGTTGTTGGATCTCCTCTCGTTGGACGTCAGGTCATGAGAAGACGCGTATATCAATGCACTGTCTTCTCAGGGCAGCTTAGATGTATATACTGGTGTCACTATGGTGACAAATTGCTCGTCATCGTACAACAGCTTTGGAGTTTGTGTCAAGGCCATGAAAAGACATAATCTGTACAAAAGAGCATGTGTTGAGCACCACCATACCAGCGTCCCCACCACTACAATATTATGATCGTCCTCTTCCTAGTTTTCAGCTTACGTGGCACGTCATTACCCGTAAACATACTGTTTAAAAAAAGAAGGGGCTTCCCAAACCCGAGTCAACCAGGTCTTCCAAGCAAACTCCCGGGTTCGGTACATGGTAAATTGTCTTCCAGACTCGGAAACATATTTGCACTTTGGTTTTTCTTGTCACAACACTAACAAACAAATTTGCGCAGCGCGTTGCTAGACAACAATTCTGTTGAGTTCTACTTCTTTTTAACCAAAGCATAATTAATATTTTGCGTGAGCTTGAAGGATTTATATTGTACCTATACCTGGGGCCTGTTTTATATACCTCTAGATCTCCGCCATTAGCTGGGATCTATATTAAAAAAGATGTCGAGACGCACATTGAAATTGGTGCTATGGTTGGCTACACTTTTGAGTCTAGCGACTGCATCACCGCTATCAAATCACAGTGAGCAATGCTTTCGATATTCTGAAATGGAAGAATGATTGTTTATCAGTTACCTATTCATCATATTCGATTTGTTTTGCTAACTACCAATTCATCACATCACAGTATCATTGATCGAACGAGACAATCTAACTCCAGAACAACGAGCTGCTGATGCTGGAACTGGTCTGGTTAGCCAGGGTGGTTTATCAGTATGGTTTGGCATTGGTGGTGCTATTCGAAATGCCATGAGGCAAGGCAAAACAACTTTACCCATCTTGGATCCTGTCACTGGGAAGATGGTGTTTGATATCAAGACTATTGTTATGTTCTATATAGTGAGTTTTTTTGCTGGTGTTAGGTCGTGTTGAACGTGTTTTATTAACGTTTCGTTTTTCGTTAGCCCGTTTTGGTTTTTGTTGGTAACTTCGAGCATTTTTTCTCCTTCCGTTAAAAGCATACATACTAACCTTCATGTCTCATCATAGTCCTTATCCTACTCCTTCTCGTCGGAACCGGTTGCGCAGGTTGCTGCTTATGCTGTTGCTGTCGTCGCAAACTACTCCGCCGAAGAAAAGCATACACCACCTCAGACCGACTCGTAGCCATCATCTTCCTCGTACTACTCTTAGCTTGTGGAGGTGTCGCCATTCTAGGTGGTTGGAGAGGATCTGCATTGATATCAACGGGGATCCAATTGATATTCAGTGTCACAAACACTACTGTTGCTGATGTGCAGTTGAAGATTGCAAGTGTTATACCCGGTGCTAATAGTATTTTGGGGGTTGTTTCTACCACCGTTAATTGTAAGTACTTGAAGGTTACCATAGGTGCAAGAGATGGAATTAATGTCCCCATTTTTAGCTTCCATCGACGGAGTCGTGACTCAGCTAGGTTTGGATACCTTAAGTGCCAATGCTTCGCCTATAGGTATGTTGCAGCAGGAAATGTGGATTCTGTTGAATTTTTTGACTACTGTGGCTTTGTGACTGGCATTGCGACTTGTGTGATATTGTCGATTTTTTGCTGGCTCTGGCTAACGTCAAACCAAAAATTATAGTCGCAAGCCTCGCAGCGACCCTCATCGCTATGCAAGGCTCAATCGACACCATGCTCCTCAACGTAACCAAAATCGGCTGGGACTATGGAAATCTCACTTCCATCCTCGAGCCAGCCTTGATCGGCGACCTAAACTACTTCAACTCCCAACTACAAACCCTCTCTGGATCCCAAAATAACGCTGGTAGCATCTTCCAACTCCAACAGGCGCTACCAACCATGGACGTAACTCAAGCCGGTGGTAACTTCTCTGGTGTCTCACCAACACCATCTGATTTGAACAATATGGTTGCACCCGCCACCACAATGCCAAACTTGGTTACTATGGCTCATAGTATTACGAGTTTGTTTAATTCGTTGACTACCACTGCTTCGACTACTATTTCGCAGTCGACTGGACCAATCAAGAATCAGGTTGCCACGTTGTTAAACGGTGCACAGACGACTGTGAATAGTACTTTTGGACCGATTTCGGATCAAGTTAACAGCGACATAGCGTCATATGCTACGGATAACATCAACAAGTATTCGATTTTGGCTTTGCAGTATGATTCATACCGGTATGTGATTGTAACTGATTTGGTCATGTGGTTGTAAGTTTTTTTTGATCGTAATGCCATTTTAGAAATTACGGATACATGGCTATCTTCATTCTCTGTATCATTTGGCTCTTCGTTCCTCTATTATGTATCGTTGCAAAGAAACCAAAGGGCACTAAATGGTAAGGTTGTGTGACACATTTGTATTATACAAAATCAGCTTCTCAATTCTTTTCCGTAATCTAGCTGTACTCTCTTTGCCGTTCCATTTATTGTGATCTTATACCTCTTGGCACTCTTGCACTTTATCTTTGCCTATGCTATGGGTGAAGGTAAACACAATGCTTGCCATTATCACGTGACATCTCACAGTCTAAACATTTTTCTTCTTTTGTCGCTCTAGTCTGCTTCTACGCATTCGCCCAAAACATGAGTATCGCCCAACCTCTCCTCGGAAACTCAACTTACCAATACATTGGATATGGTTTCCAAGCTCAAGCCATGTGTTCTCAAGGCTCAAACTTGATTGATGTGGCAGTTGCGTTGAATGTTGTACCTGCTAGCTACGGAATCAACAGCACAACTGTCAGTCTGCACTACCAAGCCCAGAATCTGTTGAATGGGTTGAATTTGAATTCTTTAGTTAATTCTGTGAATCTGAAGTACGTTATTAGATTTAAATTGAAGATTCGAAAGCGGAACTCGATTGACTCACAATATTTATCCTAATGTTAAGCTCAACATTCTCATTGAGCTCCAGCAACTTGGCATCCCAACTCGCACCAGTCAACACCTCCCTAACAAATATCACCTCCCTTAACACTACCACATGGAAGAACCAAGCCTCGCGACCAATTCTTGGAACTGCATGGCAGACCCTCCTCACCTCCCTAACGACCTTAAACACTGTAGTCACCACCGGTTCTGATGCTTCACGAGAAACACCTTTCGCATGGACACCTCCCGCTAGTCCCAACATTGGCGATGTGAACTACTGGATTACTTTGTGGAATCCAGTGTATACCAACATATCGAATTACAATGCTACCAGTCCAACCATTGCGGCTATGAATGCCAAGATGGCTGAATCCGTTGTCCTTTTAGACGGATTGCAAGGATTTGTTCCTACCCTTCAGGGTGATATTGCGACCCTGCTGACTTTGAATACTCAGCTGACAACTGTTCTGAATAACTATTTGGGTAGTGTCCCTACTTTGGTAAGTTCTGCCAACCTTATGAGTTGTCGATTGTCAAGTTATGACACATGTTCTAATAGTTTTGGCTCAATTCTTTAGTTGACTACTGGTATCACTACTTTGGAATCAAATATTTTGACTGCTGCTGATCTAATTCAACTACAAGTCAACAATTTGACCGAATGTGCAGTTCTTGCCAATGACACTCTGGCATTGGAGCATACGTAAGTCATAACCCTGTGATAAATTGCATCCTTTTTCGTTTTGTTCCTCGTTCGTGCCTGACTCCTCTTTGATAGGCTTTGTACTGTTTTTGTTGGAGCATTCGATTCTTTATGGATGGCCTTCCTAGTCCTCGCCTGTTGTGGTACTGCATCTTTAGCAGTATTCGTCGTAGCTGCCAACCGTCTCGCAGACAAGACTGCTCGTGAAGCAGCCAACGAATCCATCTACCAAAAGAAAGGCAAGAAATCTAAAACCGACAAATGGGAAGACGATGACGAAGCGCCAGCACCTCAACTCGCTGTCAAAACCAAGGGCAAACGCAACAGTGGTCGCGGCCAACAACAACAAGTACTCCACACCGCCGAAATGTCGCCAGTCTCCCCAGGAGCTGGCAGTCATTCATTTCGAGGGAAGAAGGGTACTAAAGACAGATCATCGTCGAATTCATCCAATAAGGTAGAGCCAATGGGAATCTCACCAGTCCTTATTGATGAGGCTGAACCACAGTCTGTACTGGTCGCTCCTGGAAGTCGAACTATGAGTGGGCAAGATCGGGCTGCTTATATGGCTGCTATGCAAGCTAATGAGACTGATCCAGCTATGGAATCACACTCTGCATTTCTTGCGGCCATGGCGCAACGAGCTTACAATAATTCGGATCCCGCGGCAAATGGGGGTGTGATGCAAGTTATTGATGAGAACGGACTGTATGTGAATGATAATGGTGAGTATTCTAAACGCTGATGCAGAAATGAATTCATCTTTAGAGAAACCAATACCAATACCTGATTTCTAAACCCATTTCCACAACCATTTTAGGCATCTACCCGACTATTTCGATGGCACCACCAAGCTTCCAAGACCCCAGCCACACACAAGAAACCGACGAAATGAAACTTGACGCCGCACTAGACAACCTGATCCACAACATTGATGCCCGCAATCAATCAAACCGAACATCACAAGCCGTCCGTCCCTCTGCCACAATCCGAAACCCCAACCCAAACAACCTCGAACTCGACCTGACTCGTCTGATATCTCGAAACTCATCCACATCCCCACAAAGTGCATACTCCAACACAACACCATCTCCAGATGGTGAACATGCACCGTTACTAAAGCCTGGTTATGTAGCACCACCGTCACTACCAGCCAATTTCACCATCCGGGGATCACCGAATGAGACGATACGGGTTGTTGCAAGTTCGCCTGGCAACACTTTGCCTGCGCCTGTTATGAGGGGCAATTCTTCATTGCACCAGGAAAATGCTGCCGCCTATTTGGAGGCTAGGAGGACGTCGAGGGCTAGCAAGTCGTCACGACACTAGATTGTGGCTCTAGCGTATGATTTAAACATATTCAATTTTTTGGATTCATTGTAAATTGTCTTTTGATATTAAAGGATCTCTTACTGTCTGAATATTTATACTGTTTGTGCGTGTTTGATGAAACTGACGCAAGATTGGTTCTACCTTCGAAGGAATGGTCTAAGAAGATTTTTGATATCCCGATGCGTTAAATCAAGTAATTTTCAGTATTCAAACAAGTTTCGTTGTGTGATTTACCTCACAAAACATTCTTTAAATTGACGAACAGACATCGACATAACCCCACAACCAACATGGGTGAGTCTTTAGGCACTTACCACACTCGCGAGACGATAGAGAAATTCAAGAGGCACGCCATTCTTGGCATGATTTCGCCTGTTGAATGAAAATATTTGTAAGCACTAACGTAGGTCCTTTAAAAACAACAAGCTGCTGTTCCGTTGCGTGGATTCACTCTAGCATGTAGTGTTTGAAACGGACCCGACTCGACCGGACTTTCAGCGGCGTCCGGTCCTATGCGGACCGACCGGTCAACGAGTCCGGTCCGGTCCGCTTGGAGTCCGCGGACTCATGAGCAGGTCCACTAGGTCCGCGGACTTGTGCTTGTGTGTCATGAAATAGACGCAAAGAAACAACAACCACCTAGTATCAGGCCATTTTGTTGGTTTTATTTAAGATTAAGATGACAAAATATTTTATTTCGCGACTTCTACTCCAACTCTATCAACTCCTGCTCCACCTCACAATCAATAAACTCTCCATTTACGTCTTCTGTATCATCATCCCCAATTAAACTGGTCAACAAATCGTCATTGGACCACCAGTTTCGTAGGCAGAGTACATTCCGGATTTATGTTCTTTTAAATTCGAGCGTTTTACCGATATCAAATCCGAACTGCGCGTTCCGAGGGTGTTGACGTAGCTATGAGAGTCAATTAGAAACCCAAATATTGGTAACTAGGTGCATTCGCAAAACTCTTACCTGGTACAGCCATAACATCTCTTGCCATTCTAGCAAGAGTTGGATATTGGAGTTGATTGTCCTAAAAGCGAAAGTGGAAGTTGCGACATGTTCTCAACCATCTTTGCGTTCCACCAGCTTAGTACCTCCTGCTGATACAACTGGGGATTTTCCTTCGTACCGGGTATTTTGGGGGCCCTGGGAGCAGCAAGGTATACCTCCACTTCGTTTTGGTCAGGGAGGATCGTTTCTTCATCTTCATCCGAGCTCCATCCTCCCAAAGCTTGAGCGAGCTCTCTGCCGATATCGTTTACCGAATGACTGGAGGTTGTGCGATCTAGTGGTTTCTTGGTGTTGGAAGGCGTGGCGGTTGCCTTGTTACCATTGTACATATCAGAGAGTGACTTCTTCATCTGTGTCAGATGAGTTTTTGCTCTAATGGCCCATTGTAACTTCGAAAATGGATGTAACACTAAAGTAAAATGAGTATGCTGGTATGTTACCGGATGACCAATTAGAATTCTGGAACGAGACCCTCAATCATATTAAACGAGAAGCTAACCGGCTGTACAAAAGAATTCGAAACTTGAGAATCAGGGGCCCGAGGCCTGTACTCGAATTCCGGTTTATACAGCTGAAACAGACCAAAGCTGCATATGCTGATAGACTGAGAACCGTTAAGAAGGATAGGCTCGAAGACCTTTTTGAAAGCCAAAGTAGTATAGATGTGTGCACGGTTCTGAAATCGGTTAGAAGCCGACGTCGTGCTAATGGATGTAATCCTAATCAGTCCAGATTAGAACCTGACGAAGCTTCCCTGTAGAAGTATGCTCAATATTACAGGGAGATATACGACTCACACGGCATGGAACCAATCTTGGAAGTACCTATTCAAGTGGGTGTAGTGCCAGGGTGGCTAGATCTGGAAGATGTCAAGCAGGCAATACTTACTTTGCCAAATGGGAAGGATTCCGGTGTAGACGAACTCCAAGCCGAGATGATAAAACCTCTAGTTAGACCTGATAGCACCCATGTTCTATGTACTTGTGCAAACTATGTATAGAACAGGTGTTAGCCCATCTGAATGGAACATTGCGAACTCATGCCAGCTATGGAAGGGAATAAAGAAGGGCCCTGCTGATAGCATCGAAGCCCACAGACCAATATCGCTTACCTGTATACTGCGTAAAGCTACGGAGAGAATACTATTGCAGCGGATGAAACTGGAAGTTGAGACACTAGACATTGCCCAAGGTGGTTTCAGAGCTGACAGATCCACTATGGATCAGATCATGGTACTAGACACCATATTGAAGAGAGAGGCTGCACCCTGCACCAATGCCACAATCCGTAAAAGACGAGCCAAACATGTATACGAAGATGAAATGGAAAGCACCATACCCACCGTGTTTCTAGATATCAAGGCAGTATACGATACCGTCAACAGAGTTAAGCTATGGACAAACCTGGAGGACCGAAAAGTCAGCCAGCAGCTGCTCACACTTACCAAGTCATTGTTTGACAGATGCTGCATCAGAGTGATTGTAAAAGGTAACCAATCCGACAAAGTGGATTTGAGTCGTGGTCTACTACAGGGCTCGGTGATGTCCCCGCTCCTATATTCATACTATATTGACGACCTTCCTGGTAAATTGAGGGACGTAACGGACGGTTTCGATGTTGGAGGGGTAAAGATAAATAACTTACTTTATGCTGATGATATCGCTCTACTGGCCAAACGTTCCATAGAAATGCAAAAGTTGCTGGATATCTGCTTCCAGCACTCCATCGAGTTTGACTATCGATTTGCAGTTTCTAAATGTGTTGCTGTTGGAGGTAGTGTGGATGATATACTGCTGCTAGGAGACAAGATCGTACCATAGTCGGATGATGGTGGATTCACATATTTAGGAGTCCCGTTTACAGCAGCTGGCATAGACAACTACATGTCACTAGCAAGGCGAAGAAAGCCTTGCAAGCGACCTTCGCCATGGGTAATACTGGACTACGTTTTTTTTCTCTTTCAATAGTGTATGTATGGAAAGGATTACTAAACAAATGCAACTGATATAGTATAATAATATAAAAAACCATAGGGCCACATACACCGGCCTATTATATCCCTTGGGATACAGAACACCTATAAAATTGGATGGTTTAGGCATCCATGCCATATCAACGTCATCAGGCCATGCCAATGTACGGAGTGATTCCATATGGGCGATTCGTAGTTGTTTCCAATCCGGACACTTCATTGTTGAGCTATCGTCATGAAGGTTGGTTTGTCGATCTTGGTTAACGGTGTTTCTGTATTTGTTACTGACTATTTTCTTCCATATGTGGTTACAAGCAGCGTTGCTAAGCAGTCCATTCACTGTTGGATTCTGCTCTTCCCCACGTATAAAGTGATGGACGAGACAGTCTTCGGGAGCATCGTGGAATCTGGCCATACATTTAGCATTCAACTCGAGAGCTCGATATTCGATTTTGGGTATACCTGCCAGAAGTAATAGGGCATTTCGGTTTGTCGATTCATTGGCTCCAAGTATTCTTTTTAACACAATTCCTTGCGCTACATCTAGTTTCTGCTGGACCTTGCGGCTCACATTCCCTTGATCCGGCCTCATTACTGCCAGTCCGTATTCTAATATTGGTCTGATAAATGTCTTGTACACCTGGACATTTATCTTTGGTGGGAATCCATGGCCATGAAGACCTATGCCACCCATCGCAAACGTGGCCTGTAATGCTTTATTGGCCATAGTGGTGACATGTTGAGGTATGTCAACTCCTGCAGCTGTAAACGGCACTCCTAAATAAGTGAAGCGTCCATCACTCGAGCACATGTGGTGGAATATCTCGATTTGAATGATGGAGCTAGTGTCAGATTAGCCCAAATCCTAGAACGTAAAGAGAAGCAAAATCCACAGAAAGTTGTAGAGGCAGGCCCAGTTGCAGCACGAACGACACCACAATGGCACCAATATGTAGATGAATCCACTCGCAAGAAAAACCGAGTGGTGGAACTGTATCATAACAGCTTGGAACGAATTATGGATACTATCGACCAACGTAGCACGAAGGAGGATTGGCGGTACATCCATCAATGTATCCTCAGAATCTCGATTGAATGTATAGGCTGGGATTTTAAAGATCCAGAACTTCTCAGGAAACTGAAGGTGAAGGCGGGATACGTAGACGAGTAGAAGTAGTAAAACACACACGGTGAATTGGTAACTCATTACCAGTACACCTCGCATAGTAGTAGCATTGTAGCATTTCACATTAGGATGTGTTGTGAACTCGGCGGTTGCAAACCAACGAGAACGCAACACAGGGATAGGTGGTCTATACTTGGGCACTTGTGCCGCAACAAGTGAAAAGACCTGTTGCAGACCACTATAGTCATTAGATTAGCTTATATTGTGTCACTGATATGTCATCGCTATGTCCAACCCTTGGGACCAGTATTGCCATTCACCAGGCCTTTAGCCCCTATTATGACAAACAACCAGGACGAAGACGAGGATGCTGAAGAAGAAGACGAAGAAGATGGACTCCTCGCACCTGTAAAACAAGAACACGGAAATCTAATCCGTTTCCGACCATCGACGATATTTTAGATCGAAGAACTCCATCCGTAGCAAAGACCTCGGCTGCTTCCTCTGCTGGCTCCTCTTCTGTCTCTTCACCATCGGTACCACGACGTTATCCAGAAGGAGTAAAGAAACGACAGAGAGTCTCCAATACCGTGGCTCTGAACTCTGTTCAGTCTCAGATGAATCAGATGAACCAGCTCTTAGATCCCACGCAACGGAGCTGTACGTGAAGATTCTAGAATGTCCAGTCTTTTTATGCAGTCGGAATTGACTGCTGCACGAGAGGAAGCTAGTCGTATGCAGCAACGAGTCCATAATCTCGAACTTCAATTGATGCAGGCGCAGATGGAAGGACGACGTCTTAGCAGTGAGGTTGACAGATATAAAAGTGACGCAGACGCTAATCGTATGATGATGATGATGGGCGGAGGTGGTGGTGGTGGTAGTGGTGCGTTTTATAATCGTCAAAGAGGTGGTGGAGGTGTGAATCGTCGTGATTTTGAGGAATATGAAGCTTTTGAGGATAGTCGCTACAATCCGTATGGTCGTCAGCCAGCATTCAATGTCTCGGACATTCCATTTGCTGCTCTTCCTCGTGGCTATACTCCTTACCAGCAACTTGCACCAGTTGTGCCTCCTGGCATGCCTGCTATGCTACCACCTGTAATGCCAGCTACGCCGGTACCTTTTATTGCAGCCGCAGCACCAGTTATACCAGTAGCGCCGACCGTCATGGTAGAAACGCCATCTGGAAATTGCATCCCCACAAACCAAGAATTGATTGACTCTGTTTCTAACCAGGTAAGTGAACCTCACGAATGCAAACTCCTTCAATCTAACAGTACTGTCTTTCTGTAGTGATGGACTGTGTTTTACTTGTACGCTTGTATTCCGAACTGTAAATAAAAAAAACCTGTCTTTAAAAAAGCCCAAAAACACGCTCGTGTGATTATGTACGTAGCCAGCTCTTCATGTATTTGTAAATTTTTATTTATAGAGCAGCACAACAATATAAAAATTATCTGTACATCATGCAACAGGTTGCAAATCACTGCCATCCACATTAAATTGAAATCTGTTCAACCACTCATCACCGAATTGCTCCCATTCACGGCTCTGTTGCCTTCTTCACAAGCCTTCATAGACTCTCTTGATCTGATTGATTTCAACACGACGAGTTCTGAGATTGAAGCGATGTAAACAAGTACTGATTAAATCGATCCGGTAGTTATCATCACCATTTTGAGTTCCTCCACCTGGAAGCTTACGCTTCAATCTAGTGAATGAGCCCTGTAGAGCCCTCATACCCCATTCCACCGCCTGCCTACACGACGTCAGCTCCGAGCTAAATTGTTGAAGAGTGTGACGCTCGACGGGATCTTGAGCTAGCCGATCATTGGATTTAATTGGAGCCTTTATTTTTTGCTTCAGCCTATCCGACACTCGAGGGAAGGCCGTATCGGCGATTAAATAGTATGCTCCTGGAGTCCTAGTAGGCTAGATGGCAAATAAATGGTTAAGTTTACTCTGCGACTCGAATTTCGGAGAGTTCTTACATCAAGGAGAACAGGATACAAGTTCCCAGCGACTCGAGAATCATTGTAGCGACCCGGATCATTTATGCTAGCCCAAATTATACACCCATCAGGAGAAAAGACCAATAAGTTACTAACACAATGTGTTTTCTTCCATCCGTTGTAGTATTCTTCCTGTAATTCTTCGTCTGTCGGTGTCTTTATAGGTAGACTGAGTCCATCAACAAAACCGAAGCCAGACAGCAGTAAAGGATGCCGATTATGTATGATGTTTGAGTTTTCCACAATTTGTTCGTGACTCGGCCACTCGATTCGAGCGTCTTCCATTGTCATCAGTGTCTCCTTGAGCAGCGTCAGAGCATGACGAATATATCTAAAAGTTTGCAGTAGTGGTAAGAGATAGGCGACGAATCGTTCTGGGTTTGAAAAAACTAACCTGTCGCCCGACACTTGGAACTATTGCAAAGATCTGTTGTAAAGCTATCTCACTATGCCCCGTGGACAGATGCATGAGAATTAATCCCAACGCCCCTACAGCATCCAAACTTCGTCGTCCTGGTCTAGGTGTTGCTGTTTCGTCAACGTCGGCTCGTCCTAGGGGGCCTCTTTCCCAAGCGTCACGGAATCCTGAGTCCAGTATTGCCGTGAATGTATCGTGATCAAATCAGGTGACTGCTATCAGAGATCTATCCACATCACTCTGCCATAAACTTGTCCAGGGTGTTTCTGATCTAGAATTCAGCAGCAATGACGGTCTTGTCAAATACGGATGACAGATTCTCTTCTGCCTGTAGAAGGCATCTAAAACGGCCTGGTGGATTATTTTACATCCCTGTAAGACGAGTTCATCCTCATCGTCGTCTGCCCAGGACAACAACAGCGAGTGATGGATCAACAATGGGTTGAATCGTTGACGAAGAAGCTCCGAGTCATCTTCATACATGTTAGCAGCTGTCCATTCCATTTCGGGTCGTTGCTCTAATGCGATCTAAGGCGTAAACACCACACCAAATGGTTGTGAATCAAATCACGCCAACTTTTGCGGTTTGTGAACATTTACATCATTAACGCAGCGGGAAGCCCAACTATATATAACTTTGCAAACCGAGTTTGAGCTTTATAAAAACTTGTTAATTATTTATAAAGGTCTGCGGGAAGACATCCAACATAGTATAATAATATAAAAACCATAGGGCCACATACACCGGCCTATTATATCCCTTGGGATACAGACCACCTATACACGTGGTTCAAACACCTTAATGTTTAAACCACACTAATTACGACATACTGTGCTGAGAGAAAAGCTAACCTATGGGGCTATATCTGTATACTATTCGTATTTTGGGGTGTTGTTTTTTTCCACGACCTCTTTACCGCTGTGTTACAATCATCCACTTTCTCCACACTAAAAAAAGTCTCTTCATCGACTTCCCATCCTAAACATTCGGTGCTAATCCGATACATCGAGGTATGTATGAAGTTCCAGTCGTCTACTGAGCTATTCT